GTATATATGTGTGTATGTATATGTGTGTGCATGTGTGTGGGTATGTGCGTACGGATACCTGTGTGTATACAAAGTAAACATTTGCATACATATACGTCGTTTATTTACGTACGTCTGTGTGTACGTGTGAATTGTGTATATATATATATATATATGTGTGTGTATTTGTGTGTGCGTGTGTGTAAATGTGTTTATGTGTGCGCGCGCTGTGTTTGTAGAATTTTTATTTGCAAATAAACACGCTGATAAACTTTTAAACATAAGTCTTTATATTTTAATAGGGTAAATAAAGAATGTCCTTAGAAGAAGATAAATATCTACAACCTCACTCATGGCAATCTTACAATGGAAGAACAGTTAAAAAAGTTATCAGATGTGAATCCGCTTTTGCTACATCATGACAGGACGACTGTGGCAATTGTGTTTTAAATGAACCGGATAAATCAATCAATATGCTCCAGTCAGTTTAAAATCTAACTGCAAGGCTTGTCGCAAAAAAGCTGAAGTTCGAAGGAGTAACTGAAGTCTTAACATATTGAAAAAAAAGTAATTTTAAAAATCGGTGTATTAATTTTTGGATTCTTATAAGGCCTAGCTCTTGGATGGTTACTGTGCAAGTTCAGCAAAGAGACATCTGGATGGGGTGGGCATTTGAGTTCGGACGATGTGAACAGACTTCCTTGCTGATTGGATCGCCTGACGTGGTCCTAGTTGGTTCTGTCGTCTGGTTGAGCCAACCAGCCACTTCTCTAACAAGGTCAAACATATTTTCCGCTTTGCTTAGAATAGAATTGAAAACTTACCTATTTTCATTGAATTAGCAATGCTTACTTGATTTTTTTATTCTTATGGGGAGAGCTTTTGAGATCTCTTTGCAATTAGCGTTGTAAAAATTAGCTTTTGTATAATTTTTGTTTATTGTATTTATACATACAAACAAACAAATGTATATACACACAAACATACAAATTATACACACATGCAAATATACAAACGTGTGTTTGTTTGTGGAGAAACGTGATAAGTATAAACAGACCTGATCGATCTAGATTACTGTTGTTGCGGTTGTTGTTGCTGATGTGGTTGTTGTTGCTGTTGTTGATGTTGATGTGATGTTGTTGATAAAGTTCTTTCTGATGTTGTTGTTGAGGATGTTGTTGAGGATGTTGTTGAGGATGTTGTTGATGTTGTTGTTGTTGTTAATGTTGTTTTTGTTGTTGTTGATGTTGTGAACGTCTCAATCAAAAAGCTAAAATGATGAAGACAATGTTCATTAAACAGTTCCCTCACAACTCTAACGTCTTGATAATAATACAATAATTGTTCATGATAATGACATTCATATCTTCCGCATTCTATTTCTACAACTAATTGATGATTTGTAAGGTTGAATAAGATTAGAAGAATGAGCTATTTTGATGACACATATGTTAGAACATTACTACCATTATTAAGAAGAGTTGAAACAGTTACAACTACAACTACTACAACAACAACAACAACAACTACTACTACTACAAGAACAACAACTACTACTACAACTACACTACTACAACAACTACTACTATTACTTCTACTACTACTACTACTACTACTACTACTACTACTACTATTACCACTACTACTACTACTACTACTACTACTACTACTACTACTACTATACTACTTCAACAACAACAACAACAACAACAACAACAACAACTACTAGTACTACTACTACAACAACAACTACTACTACTACTACTATTAAAACAATATCATTGACAACAACAACAACAACAACAACAACATCATTAATAATAATAATAATAATAATGATAATGATGATAATAATAATAATAATAATAATAATATAATTAATATAATATTAATAATAACACACGCGCCAACAGACATAACCTGCATAGGACTAAAAGTAAGTACTTCTGGAAAAGATTCGAATGGTCTTATATAGGAATACACTTTGATGATGATGAAGACGACGACGAAGACGATGATGTTTGTGTCCGTGGTGATGTTGAGAAGACAAAGGCAATAGTTTGGCGATGTTAGAGTTTGTGGTGATGATGAGGAGAATTTTTTTGAGGTTGATGTGAGTGAGATTGTTGATGATGTCGTTGATGTTTTTGATAATGGTGATGTAGATGGTAAAGAAGCTGCTGTTGCTGCTGCTTCGGCTGTTGCAGCTTATAGCAATTAGGGCGACGTTGATGAAAATGACAATGCGGTAGTTGTAGTAACAGTCGTATTGTTAGAACTAGATCTGCATTTAATTAACATTAAGTTTCACTTTCATTCTAGTTGTAGTAACTGTAGCCATTACAGAAACTACTTGTATTTTGCAGCTTCATAGTACATGGTTGTAGTAACAGTTAATATTATTAGTAGTAGTAGAGTTAGTAGTAGTAATAAAGTGATAGTAATATTAGTTGAATTTTTTGTGATGATAATAGTAGAAGTAACAGTTTTGAAGTAGTAGTAGTAGCAGTAGTAGTTGTTGTGGTAGCAGTAATAGTAGTGGCTACAACAACGACAACGACATGGCTTAATTTAGTTGTATGCCACAAGGGAACCAAACCAGTCTGGAGTGAATCTTTGGGGCTGTCGTTTAAAAACCAACAAAAAAACTTTGTATGTTGATGTGTATATGTTTTATGTTTGAGTGTATGTATTGTATGTTAAAGTGTATGTATTGTATGTATTGTTTATTAATGTGCACAAGTTGTATATTAGTTTGTATATACTGTACATTATTGCGTTGAAAATAAGGTTACTGCAACAGCAGTAGCAGCAGCAGCAGCAGCAGCAGCAGTAGTAGTAGTTATAGTAGTAGCAGCAGTAGCAGCAGCAGCCTTAGTAGTAGTAGCAGCAGCCTTAGTAGTAGTAGCAGCAGCAGTGGTAGTAGTAGTGGTAATACTATTGTAATATTTGTAGTAACTGTAATGATACAATAAGAGCGCTGAATTGTATTTGATATGTGTATATCTATTTTTGTCTATATACTTCTCTGTATGTTTGTATGATTGTATGTATGGTTGTATGTATGTGTGTTTGTTTGTTTGCATGTTAGTTAGAAACCTCTCTTACAAAAAATGTAATTTTTAGTATGTTTGTATGTATGTATGTATGTGTAGATACTTGTATTTTTTGTATGTATGTATGTTTGTTTGTATGTTTGCGTGTTTTGTATTTTTGTATTTTTGTATGTTTTGTATATTTGTATGTTTGCATACGATCCATCAATCTGTGTAGACATTCATCTTACGCCACTCCGTGCGTGAAATTAACGTGTCTCCTTACGCTATGACGTCATATCGACGTCATCATCATTACCGTCATCACGGTCGTCATCGCCATTAGGGTAAACGTTTTTTTGTTGTCGGTATTGTTTGGAGTTGATGTTGTTGTTGGTTGTGTAGTGTTGATGTTGTTGCTGTTGGCAGTGTTGTTGTTGTCGTTGATGTTGTTGTTGCAATGACGTCATCAGTGTAGATGTTTTTCTGAATGGTGTTCGTGATGATGTCATTGTTCCTTTTTTTTATTGATGTTGTGAAAAAAAAAATAAAGCGCTAGCTTTTCTAATTTTGAACGTACCAAAGATACATAATTGTTATTGTTTACCTTAGCTCGCTTTCAGAATATAAGTTTGTAAATATAAATTATGAAATGATAAAAAAAATGAATGAATGAACAAATAGAAGTACGATTGCTATTATTATTTTCATTATTTTTATTAAGCTGTCCGCAGAGAAAAAATGCTGGCGGAGCTATTAATCATAGTAATTATATTTATTACTTAATTAAATTAACTAATAATTATAACAATAATAATAATAAAATTTATAATAATAATAAAATTTATTATTATTATTGATATTATTATTATCAGATATACCCAAAGTTTCTCCAAATGGCACAGACCAAGAAATCAATATTGCAACTAATAACAAAATTAGTAGTAGTACTAGTAGTAGTAGTAATAATTTAATTATTATTAATAATAATAATAATAAGAGTAAAAATAATAATAAAAGGATTAATAAAAGAGGTAAACAAAGCGTCGGGCACAACTCTAGCGATGCTAACAAAAGTGATGGCTTTGCTAATTTGGCTTTTTAATTAGATGATTCGCTCACTAATATGTTTATTAATTAAATATCTATTCATTCATTTGTTCATTCAATCATTCGTTCATTCATATTTTTGCAGGCGCCGATTTTCGTGATAAACGTTAGTATTTTAATTTTATTCATCCAACTACCCATCTACTCATTCATTCATTCGTTCGTTCGTTCGTTCATTCATTCATTCATTCCTTTATCCAGCTGAATTTTACATTCAGTGTTTCCTGGCTCTCATGCTGGTCGTCGTCAGCATTGTTCTCTGCTTCCCTCTCAAATGGCTTGAAAAGTCCGTGAATGAATGAATGAATCAAAAATGAATGAATGTTGGAATGAATGAATACATGAATGAATAAATGAAAAAACATATAAGCAACTGAATGATAATATCAATCACAAACAGCAGCATTATTCACCATAATCGCCCTCGTCATCATCATCATCACCACCATCATCATCATCATCACCACCATCATCATCATCATCACCACCACCATCATCATCATCATCACCACCACCATCATCATTTTAAACATCACCACCATCTTCACCATCATTCTCACCACCATTATCGTCATCCTCACCGCCACCACCATCATCATCATCATCATCATCACCATCATCATCATTTTAAACATCACCACCATCTTCATCATCATCCCCACCACCATTATCATCATCATCATCACTACCACCATCATCATCATCATTTTCACCCCAAAGGTTATTTTTGCATGGTGATATAAAGCCGAGTAGCCTCATCAACGACCCCTGCATCGTCTACATCCCGGTCACTTTTAAGATACCCCCAGAGTTCGCTGATCCTGATAATGATGAGAAAGACGACGACGATGATTATGATGAAAAAAAGGACGGCGGTGCTGGTAATGATAGTTCAGAGTATGGTCGCCGAGGGGACGGTGAAGATGATGGCGAGTGGAAGAAGTCGCAGCTGGTGGAATCCAGCTACCTCCAGTTCAGGAGTGTTAGAAGATGATGGTGGTGGTTGGTGATGGTGATGATGGTGGTGGTCGGTGATGGTGATGATGGTGGTGGTAGTGGTGGTTGGTGATGATATTAATGTTAAGGTTTGGTGATGATGATGATGTTAGTGGTTGGTGATGATGATGATGGTAGTGGCTGGTGATGATGACGATGTTAGTGGTTGGTGATGATGATGATGTTAGTGGTTGGTGATGATAATGATGATGGTAATGGTTGGTGGTGATAATGATGCTAGTGGTTGGTGATGATGACGACGACGACGATGATTATTATCATTATAGAAGTTACGGTGATGATGATGGTGATGATGATGGTGGTGGTGATGGTGATGATGATGGTGGTGGTGATGGCGTTGAAGAAGATGAGGAGGAACTTGATGATGACGGTTGTCATCAACTTAAAATTTAGTAATTATAGACAGTCAATTTTACTTTTTATCGATACACAGTCTCTGTCACACACACACACACACACCACACACACACACACACACACACACACACACACACACACACACACACACACATACACACACACACACACACACACACATTAACATATGTTACCCATTCTTTGTTTCACTGTGTTTTTCATCGATTTTCATTGTTTGAAATACATTGGCATACTTCGTATAAAACTTTATATGACATACAAACTTCAATATATTTATATGTATAGACAAACATATATAAGCTATTTATACATGTATATACACAAACACACACACACACACACACACAAACAAACACACACGTATATAAATGTTACAGTGTTATTAATCAAATCTGTTAATCAGTTATTTCAAACTAAATTGCCTATGTTATTATAACGAGTTAAATATCATTTTGACTCTATTTATTGTTATTATTGTTGTTGTTATTATTATTATTACTATTAATGTTATTGTTGTTATTGTTAAGTTTGAGATAAGAAAGCAAATAAACATGAGCGGTCTTAACGTTATTGTTAGTATTTTTAGTACGTTATTAATGGCACTGATGTTACTGTCATCAGTGAGTCCGATCAACAACAACAACAACGACAACGACAACAACAACAACAATGATAATAATATTAATAACAACAATAACTATAACAGTGAGCCATATACTGATGCTAATAGCTGCCTATACAGAGATATCGTTTGTAGTAGTGGCCGTAGCAGCAGCAGCAGCAGCAGCAGCAGCAGCAGTAGTAGTAGTAATAATAATAATAATAATAATAACAACGATAATAAAGTATTTTGTTTGAGTTGCAACATTAAAATGGTAAAATCGGTGAAAGATGGAAAATCTCATTGTAAGAATCTGGGTAAGACATTTTTTTTTATAAATTTATAACTTCTACTACTGCTGTTACTACTACTGCTGCTGCTGCTGCTACTACTACTACTGCTACTACTACTATTACTACTACTAATACTAATAATAATAAATTGTAGATATGAAGCTATTGAGTTTTAGAGAAAATTCAATTGAGGTTGAAAACTTGTTAAGCAGCGTGTTGTCTGCAAAAAACAACAACAACAACAATAATAACATCAACAACAAAAACATCAGCAACAACAATAACAACATCAACAACAACAGCAGCAGCAGCAACAACAACAATAACAACCACAACAACAGCTTCGGCGAAAGCGTTTTGATTAATGCCCAATTTGTTTCCTCAGATTTTTGGCTTTGGGTACCTGATTTGAAAGGTCATGACTGTGATCTTTTTATCATCATTTTTGTTTCATCATCATCATCATCATCGACATCATCATCATCATCATCGTCATCATCGTCGTCTTATTATCATCATAAACAATCACATACACGCAAGCGCACACACACACGCACACAAACATTATTTCAGAATCGTCATCATCATCATTGTCATCCTCATCATCATTGTCGTCATCATTATCATCATCAACATCATCACCATCACCACCACCACCATCATCATCATCATCATCAGATCATATGTTATCATAAAATCGTCACTATGAAACTTTTGAAATAATGCTATAAAACAAAATCAAACCTAGCAAACACTGTGGTGCTGGGTTCTGGAGCAGCTGGAGAACGAAACAGCTTCATGCGGCCCTCCATGAATATATATATATAGCGATCAACATGACAGCCTACACTCCTTCATCTGCCAGTTCAACTTGAATAACGGTTTGTTTTCAATGAACAATTAAATGAATGAATGGACGAATGAATGAATTGATATCTATTTTTCAATATATAAACATCTATATCTCTGGATGATAAACGAACAAAATATGAACGAACAAACAAACCAACGAACGAACCAACAAACCAACCAACAAATCAGACCAAAGAATTGACTTTTCATAAGAACACGACTTGACTTATGCTATGCTGTCCTGTCTCGACTTCTTTTCTTGACTTCAAATTTCCCGACTTCCAACGACTCAACTCCAAATTGACTTTTAACAACTTACCCCAACAATACGAACCTCCGTTGGTAGATAGACAACGAGATAAATGAAAGAACGAACGAACGAATGAATGAAGGAATGAAGAAGTGACTAACTGATCATTCAATTAATTCATTCTAAAAATTAACATTAACAATTTCAGAAAAATGTTCCAGAAATCATTTCCTCAGAGCATGGAACGATTACCGTGTCTTCCATCCGTCTGATAGCGACTGCATAGTATTCGTTTTGAAGCCAACTTTTAATTATTTCAAAGCCAGAAAGAACTGCTTGGACAACAACGGAGATATACTATCATTTGGATATCCAAATTTATCCACGAATAAAGATACATATATCGATAATTTGAGAAACTCTGGGAGTAAGGATAACAGATCAATGGATGCAGGAATAAAAAATGATGGACTGAAAGAGGAAGGATTGAAAATTGTGAACGGATTGAAGGAGGAAGGATTGAAAAATGTAAACGGATTGAATGAAAGTATGAGATTAAGACAGATTGAATATTGGATAAACCAAATGGATGACGAGCTGTTGGATAGTTCTAACGCGTTTTGGATTGGTTTGGTTAAAGGAATTTGGATGTGGAATGAGGATGATGATGATGAGGATGATGAAGATGATGTAAAAACTTGTAAGGAGTTTTTATTTCTTCACGACGATGATATGGACAATGAGGATTGGAAAGATGACGATGATAGTTGACCGTGACACTGATGAAGAAGATGATGATTATGACAATGATGATGGTAAAGATGACGTCGATGATGAATTGTTAAGACGATGATGACTATTGGAATGATGAAAATTTAACTGTATAGACACAGTTAAATTATTAAACCCGTAATTATTTTTCACTCCACAGCTCTTACAATCAAAGAATTCAACTGGGCAAATGAACAACCAAGTGAACAAATTGAAAATTCTTGTGTATATATTAAAAAAAATAATAATAATGGTAGCAATGGTAATAGTGGCAGTAGAAGCAGCAGCAGCAGCAGCAATAGTAGTAGTAGCGGTAGTAGTAGTAGCGGTAGTAGTAGTAGTAACAGTGGTGGTGGTAGTGGCGATTTTTTGTGGTTCGCCACAAGCTGCTTGGAAGAGGATGGAGATAAATATTTTGCCGCTATATGCATGGGTAATGGTCAGTTGATCATTTTGAGTAGCTTCTTATATTCTCCGTATTCTTATTCAATTTTATTTGTGAAAAATTATATAAAAATAAATGTTTAATAAACTTTTTTCATCGTTGGTTATTACAGGTTAGCTGATTAAAGTTATTTACTTACGTGTTTCTGAAAGTTAGGCTTTTGATCCATAGGTAGAACTTTACATGGAGACGAAATGACGTCATCGTCATCAGCAGCGATAACAACAACAAAAACAACAACAACGAAATCATCTTCATCATCAACAACAACTACTACTAATAAATACGACAGTTTGTTTTGTTTTTTTTTTGTTAATAATAATAATAATAAGAAAAATAATTATAATAAATAAAAATTGAAATGAAGAATAATAAGAATGAGAAAAATAAGAATAATACAAATAAGAATGAGAATTTTTTTTTATAATAATAATGATAATAAGAAAAATATTAATAATAAATAAGAATCGTTATATTGGTTGAAAAACCTAAAAAAACATGACAATGCAATTAACCATACTACTATTACTATTACTGCTAATACTACTACTATTACTACAACAACAACAACAGCAGCAATAACAACAACAACAACAACAACTACTACTACTACTACTGCACTTGCTGCTACTACAGCAACTACTATATATAATATATTATTATAGTTAATAATTATGCCATTCATAATTTTGTTCAATTAATAGCCGGCGTTTTAGCAGCCATCGCCATTAGCAGCTGTGCGTTGGTGGTCGTGGTAGTGGCTGTCGTGTCTGCATTCGTGTATAAACGTGTTATAAAAAAGTAAGTATTTCTTTGTAGTATTTCGTCCGTTATGTATTGGTAATAATAAATCTCTAAAGTTTCATATCTCACTTGTAACCTTAATAGAAACAACAACAACAACAACAACGATGATGATGGCCACAGATTCGTGTATAGTTCATCGAGTTTCTATGATTACCCCATATATTCTGATGCCAACTGTGCAACAATTTCACAACAACATCAACAACATCAACAACAACAACATCAACAACAACATCAACAACATCAACAACAACATCAACAACAGCAACAACATCAACAACAACAACATAAACAACAACAACATCAACAAGATATGTACGTAAACAGTAGTATTGTTCCAGATTTGCTTACACTATACAACAGTAACGATGACATTAACACAACAAACCATGACATGGACAACGCGAGCCACAGTGTCAACATCGATATCTCCAACGATTTAAATAACAAAACCGGAAATGATACAACAGATTCATTTCCGTTAAAAGATAAACAAGATGGAGATCGTCGTCCACAACCTAGGATAGCGGATACGCAATATGGCCACCGCCAACAACTTCCGGTTGCAGAAAAACAAGATGGCGGACGCCAACAACTTCCGGTTGCAGAAAAACAAAATGGCGGACTTCAAAAACTTCCGGTTGTTGAGAAACAAGATGGCGGACATCAAACGATGCATTACAGAGTGTCAGGCGGCGATATATATTCTATTGTTTTAAAAAATTCATAAGTACTTAAAGTATAATATATTTATTATTATTATTATAATAATAAATATTATTATAATAAAATAATAATACATTAAGAACGTATTATTCTTCCTGATCTGCTATTTTTTCAATAGGAAGAAAAATTTAAATAATTTTGAAGCCAATCAGATAATAGCAATAAATGAAAGTTCATCTTGCTAAGAAATGAAATGGAAAAACCTTTGATTGGATCGGATTGGATTTTATGGCTACATATTTTTGTCGTGTTTTTTTTTATTTGAAATGTTATCTTAGTCACTGGACAAGAGTTCAATGGACAAATGAACATTAATGTGGTTAATTTGTTTTTGAAATTGAACTTTAGAAAATTATTTCTTGATGTCGCTTTCCTGGCCTGGCATTACTAAGATATGAAAACAGAGCACATTCTAGAAAACCGCATGGTTCAAAGCGTTGAAAACCACTTGTTCATTTTAAAATATGAAAAATGTTACTAATTTTTTTCAATTCTCAATGAATTATTTGTTATTTTAGACCTGAATTAATCTTTTATCAACGTTAATGATTGATAAGTTTGAAAAAAAAGATTTTTGAAAACCAGCTAATTCTTAAAATTATGAAAAAACCATCCAGTTCTTTATGTATTCGAAAAATGAGCTTATTTAGTCACGAGTAAGCAAGTTCCAGTTTAAAGTATTAAAATTCAAGATATTTTTTACATTAGAATTGGTGATTGTTTAGCTTTTTTCATAGTGAAAATTATGATAGCAGATAAGACAGTAGCAGACAATGTTACTGATGATATGATGGTCACACTAACTATGATGACCACATTTGATGCTGAAGTTGTGGCTGTTGTTTGTTTGGTTGTTGTTAGTTGGAATGTTGATGTTATAGTAGAAGGTGATATTGATGTTGTAGTTGATGTTTTTGTCGTTGTTGATGACATTTGTGTTGACGATAAGGTAACGTAGGGTTCAGTTGCTGTTGTTGTTGATGTGAGTGTTGATGTTGTTGAGAATGTGGATAGCAAATTTAATAAAGAAGTTGCTTCTTGTTGTGTTGGTGTTGTTGGGGGCAGTGGTTTCGGTAGCAACATCGGGATTGTTGTTGGTATATTCATTGCAAACATTGTTGATGACGTTGATGTGATTGACATTGTTGTTGATGTGATTGACAGCGATGCTGATGCAACAGACGAAGATGCTTCTGTAGTTGCTGCTGTGTTTGTACCTTGAGGGTATTTTGTTAAAAATTGTTTAAATATTTTAGTTCCATGCTATTTTTTTATTTCAACTGTTTGGATTTTTTCAGAGTTATCAAAATCTGCGGACGAACAGCGTATGCAAACATACGTAAATCACACATGACACATACACACACACATACACACACACGCACACATACACACACACGCACACATACACACACACACACACACATACACACACACGCACACATACACACACACGCACACATACACACACAGTGAATGTTATAAACGGGGGATCTTCTTGCATTTAAACTCGGTCACGCCAATAGAGCAGCCTTGACCTATTGGCCAAAACCATATTGCTATACATAAATTCAAAATTTCTCGCTAACCATTGTAGCAAACACAAGAATTGGTGTCAATTGATGATGTTCCAGACAGTTTTACAACAGGGTGATAGAAAAATGCAAGAGTGGGTGGAAAGATATGAGGCCATCCAACGAAATCCGCTGGCACTTCACTGTTATCAGAGTACCAATAATATTTTAGGCTGGTAACATCTACACGAACATCTACCCAGGTATACGTGTTGCCGAAAGTTTTGTGAACTATTTCGTTGATTGTCGTCATATTTTCCGGGCTCCTGACCTCAAGAACCGTCATGTTCACTGACGAACAACTCGCCTGACAGCTTGAAAACGAGATCCAAGTTTGGATGTTTTGATAGCAGGAAGCGCGCACGCACGTACAATCAACGTCTGATCCCGCATTGAATCCAAGTGCAACTGCCAGTACTGGAAATAACGGATGTGATGATTTTGATCTGATTTATTTTTTATTATAAAATGAAAAAAATCATTGATTTCATAAGTAATGAACTTTGGATCTTTGAAGCATACCTATGAAAATGTTCGTGCTATTAACCAGTCTTGTGTCCATTTGTGACAAATTTTACAAAAATGAGATAATACTAATAAGAGGAACAAAGAAAATATCGGGTTGTTTGTACATTAATTTGTAAATTTTCATAAAATATTTTTACAAAAATAACTTTAAAACAAATTCTTAAAACTATTTCTCGACCCAAAATCGGCTTTTAGAATGGCACACAGATGTTAAAAGATTCTA